ACATATATTATAGGATTTTTCGTATGTGATATGTTTGTACGATGCTCTTTTTCCTGCTGGTTTGCTAGTTGGATTTGCATGCTTGCTGAGCTCTTGTCTTCGATTGGTATATTCTTTTAGATCTAAAAAAATCCCTAGCAGGAAAAAAGTATTGTGTGCCGCTGCTAAAAGAATATACCAATCAAAAACAAGAGCAAGCACGCGAATCCGGGGGTGACACCCGTTTGATACGTCCCAATTATTAATATATTGAATTTCCTCACTTTTGTGATTTTTATCTTGCTTCAGAGTACAATTAACTTCCAGTCTTAACTTGTCACTTTAGTGACCATAAAATGAAAAAGGAACAGAATATATTTATACAATAATTTTCAAAAACCTGACATATTTTACAAAATATCCTTTATTAAATATTTTGTTATAAAAATACTTCAAGCTTAATATGATGTTTGAAATAAAACTATGATTTAATTTAGTGTGAAGAAGAAAATCAGTTTCCTTATCTCACTTATCTATATCTAGAAAAAAAAAGTAATCACAACAAACATAACATAACGCAAGGACAGAAACATATTTAATATGTTATAGATATAGATAGATATAGATTGTAGATATAGATATAGATTGTTTTTAAACGAATTTAATCTTATTGGACTTTTTAACAAACAATATACAATTTTAAGTAGCTTTAAAGAAATCTTCTGAACTAGTTGTGTAAATGTGCCCTTCGCAAAGAAGAAAGTCTAATATTTCATCTAAACGAGATACAACATGCCTGGGTACTTCTGCTAGAATATCGCGTTTTTCGATACCACATTCAGTTTCATTTGCCGATCGAACAACCTTAAGAACTGCCATTTGTTCAGGCGACATGCCACTCATTGTATTATCAGACATTATTGTATTAGTAGATAAAGCAGATTCTTCAGTCGGTTTGTTAGCACTCACTATAAAATATATGACATCCATGAAATGACATGTCAATTCGTTTAAATCCTCCAGAGGTTGCATACGTAGGATCAACACGTGACGTTGATTATTCTGTATACGTAACAATCCATAAACTCGTACATATGTATTAATTTGTGTACAGTTGTTACTTTCTGCAGGATTCTTATCCGCTTCTAGCCACATGACAGCTGTGAGGGTACCTATTACACAAAATTAAATATATATATTTTTTGCTAACAAGAATAATTTAGAAATTTGAAAAGATATGTAAATTGCATTATAAGACTTTAAGTCTTATAAAAAAATTTTCCATATGTATAAAATTATGTTTATTACATATAAAAGAAAATATGCTTTAAATATATAAAAATATAAACTCTGCAAATAATAGACACTAAACATTTCATTTCATAAGTACATAAATTTCTTAAGAAAACATGAAATATTTAATTTGCCAAAACTTTTTGCAATCATATCACATTCCAATTGTATATGATATTTATGATCAAGATACATGTAATATAAATAAAACCTGTGTCATCTTGAATGCTGTAAGAAATTTTTGTCGTATCCTGTTCGATACGACGTATGATTCCTACGATTGTTAGAGTATTTACAGTTTTGCCAGCAATCTGCAAGTCTCCTGTGCTGGATGTGATATGTTTTATCAATACTGGAACGATACTTTTGTCATTGCTTTGTGGTCCTTTTTTGCCGGTACCACCGAGTTGTTGTGTGCTATCATCCAAAAATCCACCCCCGAGACTCGCGGAGCTTTCATTCCACATGATTGCGATTTGCGTTACAATCACCTTGTTAACAATCACCGAGAGAAGTCTCTGAACTTTCGATGCGTGTTGAAAGCTAATGGCTAAATTTACGCGCGCGAAACGCAGTTAAAGCCAGCGGCACACGATGCTTTTTTCCTCTTGCTGATTTGCAGTTGGATTTGCGTGCTCGTTGAGCTCCTGTCTCTGATTGGTATATTCTTTTGGATCTAAAAAAATATACCAATCGAAGACAAGAGTTCAACAAGCACGCGAATCCAGCTAGCAACCAGCAAGAAAAAAAGCATCGTGTACCGTTGGCTTTAAGGATCTCTTTCATTCTTTCAATCTTCGATTAAGCTAAGATGATTAACTCGACCATCATGATTGTTAACAACTGAGAACTAAACTGTTTATTGTAGATAATTGTTAAAATTTTTATTTAAGCGAATAATTGTTTAATAATTTTTATTTACATTAATTATCGGACATTATTTACAATTTCATATACCTATCGAGATATCTACAATACAAAAAGAATATTAGGTTAAAGAACACACATTACTTTCTAAGCATTGGAATTACAGTTGGCACTTTTGGCGGGTTAATCATCAGTTAACTTAACCGAAGATTGGTGAAAGAGACCTTAAGAAATTGATCAATCACAGTTGAAAATGAGGAAAGAAATCAATTTTGGTTGATCAATTTCGTACAATTAAACTTACGGATCTCCATTAGACCCAAGAAATTCGAACAAATTTTTCAAACTAGGGGATTTCGGATTAAAGTATGCTCGATTGGCACAATCAATCAGGTTTGCCATGTCCTTATTATTTCGTTTCTCCATTTCTCAGTCAGAGACCTCGCGGCCGGCCCGGTTATTCTTTTCACTTCCACGATTCTGTGGAGAGAGGGATAAGAATAAAAATATTTTTGTGCAATAACGTGCTGTTGCATTGAGACCGATCCGGCGCATGAGAGGCACGTGTAAAAAAATATCTCGACGATTCGAAACCGACTCCAATTCTTGAAGATGCCTCAAGGCAGTCGAGGATCAAACGTATCTCTGGTTTGTTGATTTTATGCTACCGTAAAAAGTATCATGGCGTCTAAGGGCCATGTGGATAACACGGTGAATGAACGTCGCTTGCGACCGATTTACGGTAAGTATACTCGCATTGATGACGAACGTATCTTATGTCCTATACGTTTTTGTTGAACTGCCCGGTCGACGACTCCGATAAGAATCATTGGCGAGGTTATATAATGAAACCCGCGCTGATGTTTCTCTATGGATTTTTAGACTGGCTGGACAATGGCAATAACAAAAAAGCCCTTCAGGAGGCGGATAAGGTTTTGAAAAAGCACCCAACTAATCAATGCGCTAGAGTACTCAAGGCCCTGGCCTTGTTGCGTATGGGTAAAGAAAATGAATGTCAAGTCATCATGGACAAAGTACGTTCTGAGGTACCCTGCGAGGATTCTACTCTGCAGGCGATGAGCATTTGTTACAGGGAGATACACCAACGTAAGGTTTTCATTTGTATCTTTGATTTGTAAAGACTATATTTGCCAGTAAAATTATTAACAATGATGTTTCAATCTTTATATTAAATGTATATAGCCGATAAAGTCAGTGAACTATATGAAGCAGCTGCTAAGGCTGATCCAAACAACGAGGAGCTCCTAACACATCTTTTTATGTCATATGTTCGTCTTGGTGATTATAAAAAGCAACAGCAAGCTGCTCTTAATTTGTATAAACTGACTCATAAAAATCCATATTATTTTTGGGCTGTTATGAGTATAGTGATGCAAGCTATTCATGCTGATCAGAAATTAGCGAAAGGAGTTATCTTGCCTTTGGCAGAAAGAATGGTAGTATGTCGATTATTTATGATAATTACACATATTTATGAGAATTTTAGAGAGTTCATTAGTTTGCACATAAATGAATATTTCAAAAACATGTGACATAAATTTTTCTATGAATAGGTCCTAAAATTAGTAAGGGAAGGAAAAATAGAAGCAGAGCAAGAAGTGCAACTTTATTTAATGATCTTAGAGCTGCAAGATAAAAATGAGGAAATATTAAATGTATTGTCTAGTCCTTTAGCTTCATACGTTTCGTATGTACCTCAACGAAAGGCCACATGTTTATTGAAACTAGAATGTTTTCCTGAGGCAGCTAATGCATATCGTGCACTTATTGAAGAAAAGTAAGTAAAATGATTAATATGTTTTCATCTTTTATGAGTTACAGTCTCTTTTGATATAAATTACTTTATCTTTACATTATTTAAAGCTATATTATATTTAATTATAGCATCGACAATTGGGCATTTTATCAAAATTATCTTTCGGCGGCCTTAAAATTTCAACGTCTGACAGAATGCTTGGACTTTTTTAATCATATTATTAACATGTCTGAGAAGAAAATCCGTGCGCCATACTTGGCCCGTCTAGAATTATTAAAACGATGTCAGACTGAAGATTTACAATACAGTTTGACATGCATGAATTTTATGCACGAATATTTTTCTCAGTTTGGAGAAAAAGGATGTGTAGTTGGTGATTTACAATTATATTTAAACCTGCTCACACCCAAGTACAAGTTTGAGTTATTTGAAAAGGTAAGAAAAATGATCCAACACAAATTTGGATATATCTTTATAAAATGTATATAAATAATAAAATTAGTCTTGTATTTTATTGTTTACTCATATATTAATATGTCAATAATATTTTATTATTTACTAGTATTATTTATTAGTATATTTATTATTTACTAAAACGATTCTCTTTTGTTTAATTACTTAAAGCAATATTATTTGTGATATTGTAGATCAAAGAAGATATTGGCATTGCATCAGACGAATTTCCAATTACTGTACAACAAATGCAAAGGCATATTCATTTGGAGCAATTGCGACGTATTTGTGGCTTCCATCACCTTCCTTTAGCAGACAGGGATAAGCAAGAACAATTGATAAAGAGATTATGTGATTTGTATAAGAAAGGCAATGAATTGTGTCCAATACAAGATAGGTTGCCAACTGATTTTTGTCCAGCGGATCCATATATTCTGTTAGCTACGCATTTATTACATCAATTATGGGTTGATACTAATGATGCGTCTTTTCTTTATAGGTAATGATATAATAGTTTTTCATGATATGATAATATACAAAGCTAATCGATATTAATGAAAAAGTGCTAATGATATTTTGAAAACATGCACATTTTTAAAACGATGGACTTACAGGGCAATGTCATTATTGGAACACGGTCTTCTCTCAAGTCCTGTAAATTTTCACATCAAAATTTTACTTGTGCGTATTTATTTGGAGGCTGGTCTAGTGGTCGCGGCTGATCATACGTTCGCATTACTCGATGTAAAACACCTTCAACTAGATTCACTGGGTCATCTTCATGCACCACTTCTCGCGCCTCTCGGTAACTTGCCTCTGGCCTCGACAACTCTTGATCATACAGCGAAATTTTTCATAGCCAATTATAAGGATGTATGTGTTTTCAAGCATACTAAATTTAAGGAAAATAGATAAGATTATTTATATCTAATTTATGAACTTTGTGATTCTTTTAGAGCGCGGATCATTTAACACTTGCGTATAAATATGGTAGTTTTATAAAAATTCAGGATTTCGTGGAATTAAGGGAACGCCTAGAAAATTCGTTTCATTTTGCTATGACAACTGTAGATAAAATGCTGCTCGATTTATGTTGGTGTGACAGCACTACTTCTTTGTTTTCTACTCTGAACAATATGCATATCCAACCACATCTTGATTCGATTAGATGGGCATCTCTACGAGATAATCGTGATCTGGAGGTAAACATTTTTGAAAATTTTATATAATCTGTAGAAATATAGTAATATTATATAGATTTTCCTGAAAAGATTTATAGTTGTACTGTGAAAAATATGGATTACCATTTACTTCTTCATTCATTCACAACTCTTCATTCTCCAATTTCCAATTGTTTTTATAAATAGAAGCGTATACGGAATGGGAGTTGGGATCAAATCCGAATTGAATCGTTAATTTTAAGTCACTATTCTTATACAGAATGCATACAAATTATGCATTATAATTTGCGTCTTATAATTTGAAAAAAATGTGAGGCTAAAATTTAGTGTTAGTATTAAATTTAGTATTAGTGATATATTTTATAAATTATAATATTGAATAGGTCGTTCGTGGATGGGAACCACTTAATCAGAACGAGGAGGATCCGAGAATGCAAGAAGAGACACGTATATGTATGTTAAAATTACTTTCGGCGAGAAATGCCATACTACGCATCTTGGCAGCGAGTGCTGGGTCATCTTCTATGTATCTCTCTCAATTATCTGCCGAGCTTAAGGAATTAGCAGATGAAAGTATACCGAATATTTTACAAAAATTTGATATGGAAAAACGGAACAGACCATGCAAAATATTGGTTCCATTGGATGCTGTAGAAAGATTATGCGAAGCGTATCATTCTGAACAATTAAGGACTATAGCGTGCCTTGCAAAATCACTTTCCCACTCTCATTGTCCGGACTTCGATTGCATACAAATGCTGCGGACGAGTCCTTGCTTGCAAACATTATCTATACCCGAACGGAATACTCCAGTATCTTTCAAAAACTTTTTACTCAGAGCCTCAACTTGCAGCGAATCTTTAGCGATTATTAGCGCTATATGCAGTGCTTGCGCTATAAAATCGGAACCACGTACACAATCACAAAAGAAAAATAAGAAGAAATATAATAAGAAAATTGAATCAGACATGATAAACGAGACTAATGAAACTAAGGTAAAAAAAACATCTTTCGTTATTAGTGACAAATATTTTATATATTAAACTTTGATATATATTTTAATCAATTTTTACAGCGATTATTTATTATATTACAGACTTGGAGAGAGGTAGCTGTATTACTATCAGAGAGAGTTGAAAACTTAGATGCGGTCTTAACAGAATTTGAAAAATATGAATTACATACAGGATTGGACGAAAAAGACGATGTATGTATCACTATTACGAAACGCGGACAGGCGAGTCTCAGGCAAAGTTGCAGATCCCTCAAATCTCGCACGCAGCCCATATTAAGGCTTTTAAGTAATTTAAAGAGCTGAAACTATTTGACAGTATTTGTACAAAGGATATCTATATCCGTCTACTTTTCATAATTTTCAAAAGTAACTCGAGAATTCTGTACATAATTCTTAGCCCCAATCAATTATAAAAAAAAATGAATGAATGATTTAATGCTGATTAAAATACCTGAGCCTACCTTCATTTCTATGAAAAGTACTGTGCAGTCATTTTAATACACTGCCATTTGATCAACTTATAAATAATATATTCTTCACGCAATAGATGTAAAAAGTGAAACAATCATGATACTTTTGAGATTGATAAATTTTCAGAACTAAAGGAAACATTTATTTTATCAATGTAAAAAATAGTTTATCTATTTCTAATTATGTGCCATTTTTTCAAATAATTATTTTACATATATATTACAAGAAACCTGTCGGTTCGCACATGGATCAACGTCGTGTAACTCACGAACTATTTTCTTAAACATTTTAAGAATAATGCTCGTCGATTGCATTTAACTATATTTTGTGACAATCTATGACGTGCATTTTTCGTAATTATATATATTAGTAAATTTTATTATTGAATAATTGGTGACTTGATGGTCGAACAATCTAATAGAATTGGTTAAAAAATGCTAAATAATTGAAAGGGAATAAATTGCTAATACCAGTGCAGAGTTATACATTTATTTATTTTATTTATAATTCTTAGTTGAAATAAGAGACTAATATATCCATCAATAGTATCATTTAACGTAGATTAATAAGCATATGTAAATTTCTGAATATGTTTAAATTATATATGCCTATTAATGTACACATTAATGATCGACGATCGGTCATACCAATACTTTCTATGTCTATGGCCCACTAGACAAGCATCGAATTTACCTATGGCTGCAAATACTTAAAAGCATTTTGTCAATATTATAATAAAAATAATTTTATTTACAAAAGTCTTATACATATTACATCTAATGATAATATTTTATATATATATATATATAATACTTTGTAATTAATTTCATTTTAAAAATTTTTAATATTGTCATATATTGATTATTTTATATTTGGATTCAAAAATTAAATTATTACCTGATCTAGAAAGTATAGACTACAATGCAATAGAACATTGTAATTATCTCTGTAATCTTGTGCTACAAGAAAGATGGAAACTTAATAAAAAAAAAAATCTGGAGATCATTGAGAGAAATCAAGAATTTTATCACTGATGCTGCAGCCACAATAATAGATTATATCAAATGATAACAATTATTTTTTTTATCATCCTTTCAATTATGCTATTTTATACAATAACAATCTTTTTGTTCTATAGAATTATATTACAGAGAAACACTTGTCACAAACATTTTAAGATGTTGATAAATAAAACTAATTACAATCCTAATCTTCCGGGTGTATTGCGATAAGGAGCTGGGGTGCCCGGTTCTCTAATTCCAGGCGTTAAAATCTCCTTCTTTCGAACTGACGCTTGTTCGCGCTCGAGTTGCTCCTGAGCACGTGCCTTCATTTCCTCCTCGGCCTCTTTCATTTGATGCTCCATCTCATGGAGATGTTGCATTGCTTGTCGTCGTTTCGCGCGACCGCTTCGTCCAGTTTCCTTCACACTGAAGAACATAGGTCCCAATTCGGCCAACCAATGACCGTCCACTGCTGTAACACATTGCATATATTCTTTGGCGGTCATCACGAGCTCATGGTATACCACGTAATCAGGTGTAAAACCCATGCCAAACAATGCTGAAGTGGGATGAAGATGACATGGCATTCCCGTACGGCAGTTGACGTATTCACCGATGCCCTTCAAGCGCGCTGCTTGGTGAAAATAGGCAGAACAGATGCATTTCCGTACAATATCCCAGTCAGTACCGCAACTGACAACGTCCATTTTTTGTTGCTTTAGAATTTCCTCAAGCTGCGATCTTACTTCTCGCACTTTGCGCATCGCCTTTGCATGTATAAAATGATCGTTACACCAAGAAGTCGAATAACCGTTTGCTTTCCACTGATTGTATACGTTTAAATACGTTAGATGATCTGATTCCGGCACCTGGAATTTTTCACGCGCTGAATCGGAATCTTCCTCGCGTCCCTTCGGTCGATAGAAAATCGACGGAACTGATAGCATAGAGACGATAATCAGGATATCTGCGGTACAGCCGAGCTGAGAAGCGACTATGAGCATTTGACATTGCGGTGGGTCTAAGGGAAACTCGGCCATTTGTCGGCCGAGGGGAGTCAAACGTCCGGTATGGTCAAGCGCTCCCAAGATCCATAACTGATACAACGAGTTCAGTATATTATCTTGTGGTGGTGGATCCATGAAATGGAATGCCAATAAGTCTTGAACTCCCAGTGACTTCAACAGCAACACCGTGTTAGCTAAATTTGTACGTTGTATCTCGGGAACCCCCGTTAGTAATAATTCGTCCAAGTATTGTCTTCGCGTGTATAATCTGTAACATTGTCCGGGACCGGTACGCCCGGCTCTGCCCTGTCTTTGATCGGCATTGGCTCTTGACACGGGATATACTTGTAAAGCGTCCATACCTATTCGAGGATTATACACTTTTAATTTACAGTATCCCGAATCAACGACGAAGACGATTCCATCAACTGTCAACGACGTTTCCGCTATATTGGTCGCTACGACGCATTTGCGAAGACCTCCCTCGGATCGTTGGAAGATTTTTGCCTGCAAGTCCGATGGCAGTTGGGAATAAATGGGCAGTATGGAAAGAGGCGGAGCTGATTCGATTTCAGCTAAACGTTCCTTCAGAGCTTCGCATGTTACTTCGATGTCTTCTTGACCAGGCATAAAGACTAATACATCACCGCTCTTTGGTTGCAAATGAATTTGTAAGACTTGCTTCACAGCCGCATCTACGTAATCCTCGACCGGATTCTTCGCATGCAACACCTCAACGGGAAATGTGCGTCCAGGTATTTGGAATGTTGCCGCATTGCCAAAGAAAGCGGAGAACTTGCTGCAATCCATCGTTGCAGAAGTTACGATTAACTTTAGATCATGTCGTCTAGCGACAACCTATAAATATTTTTAGATTAAAAAGGTTGTTCAATTTGGGAATGAAGATTAATACAAAATAAGAAAAAGTGAACTGTACTTCTCTAAGAAGACCAAATAATACGTCGGTGGAGAGTGATCGTTCATGAGCTTCGTCCATTATAATCACACTATAACGGTCCAGATCTCCTTCTCTCAGACTTTCTCTCAGTAAAATACCATCAGTCATATATTTGATAACCGTCTGTGTATAAAAATAAAATTTATATTATATACATATTGTGTCAAAACGTATTTCTATACGGAAATTATATCAAAGATAAATACGATGCTTAAATTATATTTAAATTACTCTTACATCCTTCGAAGTACAGTCTTCGAAACGTATTGCATATCCAACTTTGTCGCCCAGAGCAGTAGCCATCTCATCAGATACTCTTTTCGCGACAGACATAGCAGCAACTCTTCTAGGCTGAGTACAACCAATTATACCATAACGACTATAACCATCCTCATGAAGATATTGCGTCAATTGCGTAGTTTTACCGCTGCCAGTTTCACCTACTATTACAACGACGCTGTTCTCCCTGATAACGTTCAGAAGTTCCTGACGTACCGCGAACACAGGGAGACTTCTCCTTTGATGCTGTATAGATCTATGTTTAGCTTCTCCCGTTACTTCGCCCGCCCCTATATGTCGAGCGTATTTCTGTCCAGCTTTGAAGTCCGTTTCTTGTCCTGCATGCTCCTTATCGTCTTTGCGACGATCGTGTACACCCATAATATTACCAATGTGGGTTCCAGCCAATTCCCAATGCTTTTTCTGCGCCCTACGTCTCTCTTTTTGCTCACGGTACGCTTTGACTAATGCCGAACCTTTCCTCGCTACCAGAGCCATATCGGAAGTAGGATCGCGTACAGGTACAACTGGTTCTGGCTGCTTCGTGAACACGATACGCCCATCCAGAAACGGCGGGACTACATTATGAACCAGTAAGTGAACTCTTGCCTCTCCTTCGTCATCGGGATCATCGTCATGATCCAACGAGCTCACAACTCCAGATGTTAACATACGGTTACGCTCCCACAATTCGTTATCTTTGTTTATTTGTCGTTGTTGGGCAGAAAGACGTTTCTGTCTTCTGGCCTCCAACTCCATTTCTTTTTTTCGAGTATATTCTTCAGATACATTGGCAAATGCGTTATTCTCTCCATCATCTAATGCATACCATTCTCTGTCTAATCTTTGCTGTTCCTCTTCCCACAGTTCCTTCTCCTCTCCGTCTATCATTGGAGTGGCACCAGAGCTTTTAAAATCTTTATTCCACGAGTTATATTTGTAAGAAGGAGTAAATTCGCTTCTGACACTGTCGCGACCATCCCTGATATTGTAAAGATTCGGTGTCGGATGATCCCAACTTGATCGTTTCGGTTCTTCGTCTTCATCGTCGTCCCAATTGCTCTTAGAAGTTGGATCTTTCGTTCGGAATTTCGGTGTTTGCGGCTCATCTTTGAATCTAAGAGGCGTTTGTCTTATACTACTATCTCTGCCTCGACTTTCCCTATCCCGATCTCTTCGTCTGTCTCTATCTCTCTCGCGACCTTTATATGAATTTCTAGAATTTCTGTCATCTGCGCTCAGTCGTTGACGCTTGAGCCGTGACTCTAATCTCTGTTGTGCTTCAGAATTAACACCACCAGTGTGAGTAGGAGTCTCTTCTTCATGAGATCGGTACTTCCTATCTCTCCCTTCAGATTTGTTAGACTTTGAGCTGGTAGGTTCCTGCGACTGTTCTCGTCTTTTTCGTTCTGCAAGCTTGTCAAGACCTAATATAGAAGGTTTCTTGAAAGTATGATCCGAAGCTTTCTTACGTATGACCAAACCACCCGCTTGATTTTCTATAGTTCCCTCTAATCTGTATAAACTTGAATCGTCTGACATTTTTCTTTCAAAAAATTTTGCCGAATCTCACTAAAATATCGTCTCCTGAAATTAAAAGGCAAATCATCCCATCAAAATTAAATAAACAAATGAACAGAACATATATTGCATTTCATTGAAATATTTAAAAATACAAACTTATTTCGTCTGAAAATTTTTAAAAAAAAGAGTAATAATTATTAAAAATAAATACCTTAAAATCATACTAACCTAAATTATTGATAGATAAGAATAACATTAGGTTGAAAACATCGTAGTCCTTGTCTATAAAGCAACCGAGCAAACCGTGGAAAACGATTATTCTTCCAAATTCACATGTGATTTATTTACAACGTGATCCCAGAAAATATAGAAAACAATTCCCAGCAAAATAACCTAGAAACGATATGTCAAGGAACACCGAAGCATAGAAAAATGATTGGATGAGATTTTCTTTGTCACATACGCCATCTTGGGAGTTGAATAGAAATGAATCTCATTCGCTGAACTATCGGTTTTCGACGATAGTTCGACGAAAAACATGGTTTCACAATAATTATAAGTTCGAATTATTTGACACAAGTAATTTCTGATTATTTTTGATATTTATATAATATAATATATTTAATATGAATATTTATGTATTACGTAACATATATTTAATAACAATCAAAGTATATATTAATATTTATTAACAATCAAAGTATATTAAAATTGTCAAATAATTATTAAAAATTCATTCTCTATATGATACATTAAATCTTATTTTTATCTTGTTTAAACACCCTCTAATAATATTTTCTTCAATTTTTATACTTTAATTTTATATTTTAATTCTTCAATAAAATAATGTATAATAAATATCTATAGTTATAAATATCTATAGTTATACAGTAGCTACGTGTAATTACATTTTTTCACTCATTTTATTGTTTATAGGTTTTTGTACGCTATAACTTCTAGATTTTTTTAGATTTTCTAGATTTTTCCCACAGCCTTAAAATTTACTACACGCATGCGTAAATGTGCAGCTTATTTTGCATCGTAACGTGGCGTAACGAGTACGAAAGAAGGTAAGATTTGTTTTGCATTTTATTTTTACGTTGAAAATAAAACATACGTTTGCAGATTTATGTTATATTTTTTATAATATGTATATAAAATTGTTCTTAGACACATCGTCGCCGACATATAAAGATTTGATTAACAAATTGGATCGAGTGGAGCAATATAAGGCGCGCATGCGCTAATCTCTTTCCCGCGGGATTGGGTCCTTGGAATTTGCAATGCGAAATCGTCTCCGCGGTTCGTGCGTGCATATGTACTCGCGTAGAGAAAAAAAAGACAAGTCAACGGGTGCTGACAATGGCGAAAGTCGATGTATATGTGTTAATTAATATCCGCGTTTGCAAGCGTTGATCGATATCCACGATCGTCGTTCGTTTTGTTGTTCAGCGTCACGTTTTTGCATTCGTGTCAGTATCATGTTAAAACTTTGGGACGTCTTTTCTTTAACAATTCCTAAAAAGAATGTTTCAAATAATTTTTTTATTATCCCGGAAAACAATTCTCATAATAAACATCGGATATACGTTATTAGGTATTAGGATTTTTCGAACGATGTATCGAACCGCGATATTGGGGAGTGTCATGTGAATCATTGGACGAATGATTCTTGCAACGATTCATTGGTATGTCGTAACAATCACTTCTGTTTTACATTTTCTCTTTTACTGAGTTGTCAAATTGTTTTCCTAGATGTAGTCATAGGATGAAATGTGTGAGCAAAAGTTCTTAACGAATCAATATTCTATATTTCTTAATTATTAAGAAAAAATTGAGAAGAATTAAAGAAAGAAAAACAATAAATTTGTTATGTACAGTATATTTTGAGACTCAAATTGTCTGATAAATATAACAATTATATTTTGTGAAATAAATAAAAATTCAATAGTTTACAAAATACGATTTTTATCAGAAAATCAAGTTATAATTAGATAATATATTTAAAATTGTCGACTAATATATATATATATATATATATATATATATATATATAATAAAAATATATATATAATAAAATATAAATATAATTGAGTTATTACAATAGTATTGTTCTATTTGATGTATTTGTTAATCTTTTTAATCGCATTTTAATTGAAAAAACTGGGAAGAACGGATTAAAATCAATGTAATATGCTAATGTTATTATTTTGGAATTTTTTACCTTATAATTGTTTTAATTTTTATATCAGAAATTATAATTAATTTAAATGTCCTGTTTATTTAAAAAAAACATTGATTTATTTATTTAACCAGTCATCTCTATAACTGGTGGACTTCTATTATGGCAATTTTTAATTGATACATTATTTTTTATAGTTTTCATAGAAGACTCAATGTTATGATTATTATTGAAATGAATTATAGGATCTTGATCTATTATTGAAATTATATTTTCGTTAAGACTTTCTTTTACTTCATTGCATAATTCTTTATTTGTCATCTTTGTCCATTCCGTATCTTTCTTTTTGTTGTTTCTATTATATTTTGTCCAGCAGCGTTCAAAATTTATGAAAATATCTCTCCAGATGCATAGTTCTTCCACTGGAAAATAAAATTTAATTATAAATTATTTGACTTAATCGTTAATTGTAAGTTTAAATTACTAAATCATTTTTAAAATTTGCCAACTTAAATTTTATATTATTACTATAGAAAAATATTTGGTACTTTATATTTTTTATTAAAAGGCATAATGTTATGTTAATTTATAATAATATTGCATCATTCTTAGAAATATTAATAATTTATAATTTCAAAGAAATAAACTTTGTATTAAAAATTTCTGCTAACATTCTTCATAAGATGAATCATACATACATTTATGAGTTTTCAGTTAATAAATAATTTTTCATTATATCTGAATAAAGTTTTTGAATTTTAGTTACATATTTTTAAGCATCTTTACCGTATAAAAGCAGTGTTATAAATATAAACAATCCCGCAGGTACAGTTGCATTGGGTAACACAGTATATGCCAATCCAAAAAGAGCTGGCCCTTCATGGAAAGCCATTCCTTCTATTGTATTGACAAGCCATGGCAAATAAAGATACGGGATTCCATACATATCACCAATCGTTAGCATTGTTGTTGATACCAACGCCGCAAGCACATCTCCCGTCATGACTTTAATTCTTAAATCTAAGAATTATATTAAATAGAAAATTACTCTCTACACATTAATTAAAGGCATCCATATTAATTAAAGGTGTAAGATCGAAGCTTATTTACTGTAATTTCGAAGAAATAAATTATTAAAGACCGCGGGTCTCGCTGATAAACTAGAACGAAATGAACCGCGTGAACCAGCTTCAAGAGCAATTGAGCTTAGACAGTTAGTAGCAAAGCACATTATACTTAAGTATAATATCTTGATCTGGAATAAGATCAAATGGATGTATTGAATAATCGATTGTAATAGTCAATTAGTTAATTGTTTAAACAGAATATGAAAAATATATAAATCATTTTTATACGATAATTGTACTTAAAATTTTAATAGGAGAAAAAGATAGAGTAAAATATTTCCCAAAAAAGTAATAATAATTAGTACTTAATGTGAGATTGATTACTCGATTAATTAGAACTAATTGAAAACTAATTATATATTTACCTTAGAATTTTTATTTTATAATCATTATCTTTAATTTTTATATCTGAACTTGATGATTCTGAGTCGAGAATCATGATCAATTTAAATTTTTTGTAAAATTCTTCAGAAATTTTCTTATTATTTCATTGATTGCTTAATGTTAACTATTG